TCTTGAGATCACCTCATAGCAGCACAAGAAAATAGTCTTCTATTCTTTTAGAGAGCTCTCGGGCAGTCCACTGTGTGTGTGGACATACCACAGTGTGCTTAACCAGTTCACCATTGATGGACAGTTAGATTGTTGTGGTTTTTTGCTGTGAGAGCAGTGTATAGTGAACATGCCTGCATGTATTTTTTTGTATTTTTGCTGGCCTACATATATTTTGTGGGGAGGATTCCTGGGAACTCCACTGATGATGCTCCCTTCACTATAACTGCTCTTCAAGACCCTCATCCTGCTTGTGAGACCAGAATGCTAACTCCAGCCTCCACAGCCTCCTCCCCACACTACTGACCAGCCTTGGCAGCAGACATAGCAACAGGAAGACGGCGTCTGCTTCATGCTTGTCCTCCAAGTTTCATGCCAGTGTGTCTTATTAGGGGATTTAATTCATAACAAGAATTCTAGCTGCAAATGGATCTAGAAAACATAGTTTTTAAGCTTTCTTCCTCTATCATACAGGGAAGCTCACAGGAGGCTGGAGTGCCAATTAGGAAATTAAACTCACCAACTAAATTCCTTTGGTTTACAAATGAGAAAAGTGAGGCTTGGGAGGGTTATGTCATTTCTTCAAGATCACAGTAACTGACTCATAGTTGGCAGCCCTGCCTTTGCCACCTTACAGTCCAGGTGGTTGGTCATCAGGAGATTTTGTGAGTTGGACTTTCAACTACTCAGAAAAGCCATAGCACTTCATACACTTTGAAATTTTAATTTTCTCTGTACAATGAAATAACCCCACCCCCCACAAACATTCCTTTCAGATGTATTATGCTCATTCAGTACGCATTAAGGGTTGAACTCTGTCCCACCTCTCCAAATACATATGCTGAAGTCATAGCGCCCAATACTTCAGAATGTGACTGTATTTGGAGACAGGTTCTTCATAGAGCTCGGAGTGGGCTCTAATCCATTCTGTCTGGTGTCCTTATAAGGAGAGGAAATAAGGACACAGACATGTACAGAGAGAAAACCATGTGAAAACACAGGGGTAAGATGACCATTTATAGGCCAAAGAGAGATGCCTGGGACACATTCTTCACAGCCCTCAGAAGAAACTAACCCTGCGACACCTGGTCTCACACTATAGGCCTCCAAAACTAAGAAATAAATCTCCACTGTTTAAGCCAGCCAGTCTGCAGCCCCTCGTTATGGCAGTCCTGACCATGCATAAAGTAGCGAAGATCTGTGAAGAAAGAAGCAGCACATATTCAGAAGGGGAGTCGTTTAGCCTCTTTAAGTTTCTTTCCATATACTTTTCTCCAGTTGCCTTACCTCTTGCTGTTTCTGGCAAGCCAGACTCCTTCTGGAATCTTCCCCTGTGAGGGGCATTTCTCTCAGAAAATACTTTCTGCCTCTCCCACAGTTCAGAAGTCTCCAAAGTGGTGGATTGGCTGCAGGTTTGAACCGTGATAGTGCCACCAGCCCTCACACAGGCAATCTGACCACCTTGGAGCTTTTGCCTCACTGGGTACCCAATGAGGAGTGTCGCTCCCTTTTCCTAACCCATCCTCTTGGGGGGCTGTGGCAGTCTTGCCCTAAATGCACTTTTCTTCATTTTCAGAGTAGGCAAATGTGGCGTACCAAATGCATTTTTAATGACTGAGATCTGCATTGAAACGTACTTTCCATCTTTGCTGGGTCATTAAGTCTTCAAACCCTTCAATATTTTAATGAATTTTATAGTCTGGTGATATGTAGGCTTGTTCATGTTATTATTCCCTTGGTGTTGCCCATGAGATGCTCCAGCAAGCGCTCACCAAAGGGGCATTTAACACATGGCAACTGTTCTGAATGGGTCCTTTCCTGGCAGCACAAGCCAGACTAATCCAGTCTAAAACAAGAGGAAGGAAGGTTTCCTTATGGAAAAGCTAAATGAATGACTAGAAAGTAAAGAGAGTGGAAGCAAAATCCATGAGATTTGATTTTTATGGTTTTGTTAAAATTTTTATAGTTGTCTAACCCTAATGCTAACCCTGACCCTGACCCTGACCCTAACCCTAGCAACCCTTGTCTTGTTAAAATTCTTTGTGCTTTTAGGAATTCAGGAGAGCTGAACATCTTCGTGGAATTAATTGAGGCAAAAGTTGCTGGTCCTAGTACATTCAAGTTACTATAACAAGACACCATAGACTGGGTAGTTTAAAACAACAGAATTTTATTTCTCACAGTTTTGGGGAAGATTGGATGTCTGGTGAGGACCTGCTTCCAGTCATGGTGGCACCTTCTTACTGCATCCTCATGTAGTAGACAGGGCGAGGCCTCTCTCAAGGGCCTTTTTTTAAAAAGGGCACCAACCCCATTCAGGAGTTCTCTACCTTGTGACCCCATCACCTCCCACTGGCCTCCTTTTTAACACCATCACTCTGCAGGGTTGGGATTTCAACATGTGAATTTGGGGGGTGGGCTACCGACACAAACATTCATTCTCTAGCATTGCTGAATACTCAGAAAAAGGCCTGTTCGGCCAGAATGGACTCTCTCTTTTTGTCTCAGCTCAAGTCTGTCTCCTTCAGCTCTTCTGGCTATTGGAACTCATGTGCACATTAGCTAATGAGCTAGTTTCCTGCGGGGAGAAAGAGAAGCCTTGGAGTCTTGTGCACAGATCACAGGGAGGTGTTGTTGCTTCTGACTTTCAGGGGCATCTTCAAAAAGTCAAACCAGTAGAACATTAAGTACTGTTCTCTCCATGGTCTGTTTTAGGTAGTTCTTTCTAAGTCAAACTGGGATCCAAGGCACATATTTTGGTATGTGCCTTAGGTATACTAGCTACAAAGATAGCAACATAGCAGACTATCCCAACAAAACCTTAACTGATGGTTTAACCCATAGAGAACCTGTGGGGTTTTTTTTGTGTGTGTATGTGTGTGTGTGTGTGTGTGTGTGTGTGTCACTGGGGATTGAATTCAGGGGCTCATGCATGCTAGACAAGTGCTCTACCACTGAGCTACATCCCAGACCCTTTTATTTTTTACTTTTAGACGGGGTCTTGCTAAATTGCCCAGGCTGACCTTAAACTTGCAATCCCCCTGCTTCAGACTGCTGAGTAGCTGAGATTACAGGTGAGCACTACTGCATCTGGCTAGAATTTGTTTATTGAATACTCTCTTTATGTATAGATAGGTGCTGCCTAGGAGCACTTTGATCAATGTCATACCAATATATGACAGCAATTACATAAGATAATTAATAAGAGCTGAAAAATTCATTAGTTTGGAGTGTAGTCTTTGTACTTATATTTTTTAAAATTACTGTAAAATAAAGTGCCCTGTTACACCAACAGTACCCTCATAAACTTGGTATTTACTGTGTTTGGTTTTGTTTTTCTTTTAAAATGGTGCTGGGAATTAAACCCAGGGTCCTGTGCATGCTAGGGAAGTGCTTTACTGCTGAGCTGCATCCCCACTTTTACTGTGTTTCTGGATTGGAGTGTATCAAGAGGCCACATCAAGCGATGGACCCTTACCAATCAGGTTTGTGTAAGTACACTCCATGTGTTCATACAATGGCAAAGCTGCCTAAGGATGCATTTATCAGAAGACATCCCTGCCATTAAGTGACACATGCTTGAATATACACAGTTCACGGCTGGGTTGCTGAGCCTTCTGTTCTGTCCCACTGGTCTATTAGACTGTAGCTAAGCCAGTGCCACACTGTTGCTATTGTGGTTTTGTAATATATTTGACTGGGGAATTCATTCCTTTACTCTTCTTTTTAAAAGTTTATTTATTTATTTAGTCCCTCAAAAAGAAATCCAACTGGAATTTTGATTGGCATTGTAATGAGTTTAAAGGTTAATTGTTAATATAATTAGGTCTTTATAAAGCTATCCAATATGTCATCTTCTAAGAGGTTGCCCAATCCAAAAGCATGGAATGTGCTCTATTTATTCAGATCATTTTCTGTTTCCTTATTAGAGCTTAAAAAAAAAATGTGTTCAGAAGTTTTGTGTATTCTGGGTTAACGCCTACATATTTTGTAATTCTTGTTGCTATTGTGAATGATATCTTTGTAGTAATAATTTCTAGCACTACTGTGGGTGGAGAGAGATGCTGTTGATTTTTGCAGGTCGGTCTTGTGTCTGGAAAGCTTGCAGAATCTAACTGGCTCTAATATGCTTGAATCTTTGTTATCTCTGAGTTGGTGGACATTTTGTTTTTCTGCTGCTACAGTAAGAAGCAACCCCTGCCTCTTTAGTCTCTGCAACCGGTGGGTGGTGGGGATGAGGGAAGTGATTCCCTGGGAAGGAGTGGAAATGCCTGGGCCCCTGAGATGCTAATGTCTGGGCTCCCATAGCTTCAGGGATTTGCTCTCTGGCCACTAGATGGAGAAAAGGTAGCCTAAAGTTCTGTTAAGGGGGAGGGGGTACAAAAAGAGGGGAAGGGATATAGAAAGGAAGAAGAAGACAGAGAAAAGAAAAAGGAATAGGAGCTGAAGGGGCTTTTGCCCAAGTCAGTGGTCAGTATGGGACCAAGAAGAATCAGGGACAGGGCTGGGGATGTGGCTCATGTGGTAGTGCACTCGCCTGTCATGCGTG